TGAACAATAGTGTACTTCTTTTGATTAATATGTGGATATTTTTTCTTAAAATTACAACTGCTTTCTGTAAAATCATTTGAGTGTTTAAATGACACAATTCTATCCTTTATTGATTCCTTCATTAATTTCTGAATACAGCTGCTGAATGGTGTTATATTAAATAATATATCAAAATATATTTAAGAATATAAGTATATAAAGAGCTAACCTCACTGTGCTTGAGTTCCAGAATCCACACTACTGTTCAGATGTTTGGGGTCAATAAGAAATTAATTTTATTCAACAAAGACACTATAAATTTGATCAAACTTACCAGTAAAGACATTTAGACACTTACGTTTTAAGAATATTTCACAATATTACTGTTTTTGCTGCATATTTGATCAAATAAATGCAGTGTTGTTGAATATGAGACTTCTTTGAAAAACATGAAAAAATCTTACAGAGACCTAACATTTAATTATCGGTAGTGTATATCCAGTTACTTTTGACAGAATGTTTTCATGTGCAACTTTTCTTCTAATTCGTTTACCTGTTTCATTGTTCCATCAACACAGTAGATCTGCTTTCCTGTCAGTCTCAGTGTTTTGCTTTATTTTTAAAACAGATCTTGCTAAATGAGACTTACATGAAATCATCTGTGCAGTATTAAAGACCTTAGTCTCTTTTTTCTTTACTTGTGACTCCCACAATAGGCCTACCACTTTTATCAGATATAAAAACAACAGAAACATTCCAATTCTGCATTCAAAATGTAACAATTATGAAGCAAAACCAGATGTTGCCTTCTACACCCCTATAAAGAAATGTGCTCCTCTAACAAAAATCCTCTTTTGTTGTTAATGTGTTCGTTTAGCACTTCTAAAAGTAAATCTGTGCCATTGGATTACCAAATATTACCAGATCTATTTCTTTATAATCAGTCAAATTAGCTGAACCTCCTATTTATATAGAATTAAATATTGCTGTTTAATAGGACATAATATTTGCCTTTGTTCATGTGTCAATTATGTGTTTAGGACTCGTTTTATATTATTGGTTCATCTTTGTGGGTAAAAAAAAAAACAATCGTGTACATTATTTAAGACATGAAGTGTTGTCTAATTATATGTGATACATTAGACTACTTTTAGAATGTCAACCATAAATTTACTTTATTTTTTAACTGCCATTCTAAGAACGTTAATGATTACTGAGATTTTCCAAAGACAGCAAATGTTTTCCTCGGCTGTATGACACATCACAGACAGAGAAATATGATCTTTTCTGTCTTTTGACTGGATATCTGAATCTCTGAAGAGGAGGGGGCGACTGATGAAGCCTTTTGTCTGCTCAGCTCTACTCACACAGACAGACCAGCCAAATCACAGCCCTCCTGCAGAGACACACAATTAGAATATATATGATTTGCACACATTTACACTTGTTCTCACTAATCTTTTTAGTGTAGAAACAGCTAATTATCACGACAAAAATACAAAGAGAGAGACCCATCAAGGTTAGTGTAGCTACAACAAAGAGATGCAGTACACTCATAGGCTCCGCCCTGGATTCTTTCCCAGAAAGCAGAGGTTCCTGAGTTCAGTTTAGTTCACTAAAACCTGGTCTGTGTACGCACGTGATGCGGAGATGACAGAAAAACACGCATTCTCTCACAAAATACTATTTTTCTTAAATTGTTTATTTTCGTCAAAAAGGCGAAGTAAATATGTAAATGAATTATTTCGATATTATATTGCTATATAGGCACTATTATTGTTTCATTATTAGTACAGAGCTGTTATTCATTATTTCCATTGTAGGCTGTTACTTTCATAAGCAGCACCGTGTCCCCGTTTCCCCTTTGTGCACCAGTCGCGGGAGGCTACTAAACATTCACGACGAGAGTTTATATTATAAAATCAATACAGTCTATATTTTCTGTAAAATGTGTACTATACGGTTTTGCTTCTTTGTTTAAAATTTGTTTTGAACACAGGCGTTGGCTCTCGTACTTCAGTGTGGACTCTCGTCTGCGCATGCCACACTCCACTGGCACAGCTATAGCCAGACTCGTGCGAGTATCTCACGATTTCGCTGGTTCTCCGCGCCGACCTTTCCCCCAGTTCTCCAGCACCGGGTTCAGCGGGTTTACTCTGACACCGCTGACTCCTCTGTAACGCCCCCCAACAGCCACGCACCCGGTTTCAGCCAATCAACGAGCGATCACGTACTGATCACGCGCTGCCTGCTTTCCCATTGGTCCGTTCCTGCTACACCTTTGTTTTTGATTGGTAACATGTTACCACCCACCAGAGTGATCTGAATTTTGTTTCTGTTTTTTCTTTCTTTCTTTCTGTTGTTTTTTTTGAGCTTCTGATTCATTCAGCTGAGGTTGAACCTTGCTGTAAAAAGTGGTTAGACTTATGTGGACAGGCTTCGTATCACAGCTGTCTTCCCGTTGCTTTTAATTTACTTACACATATGCTGAATTTTGCTTCTGACTCCGGCCGGGTAAGTTGATTATATTGCCAAAGTGGTTTTATTGCTACTTTTTAGTTTTTGCGCATTGACCCACTAATGACATCCGCTTTTGCTGCAAGTTGCGACCCATATAAAATAATTTTAATGCTCATTGACGGAGAACAGTTGACTTTGAACAGAGCAATGTTTATAATTTCTGTTTACACGCATAAAAACATATTTGATGTTCTTGACATTTGCAACAACGAGCAACATTCTTTGTGTTATACTGCTTTAATTAAATTAAGTCATGACGAACCGTTTGCCGCAATCATTGTTGTGCATTTCCCTCCTGCATTAAGCGGCAGTGCTACTTTACGTTGAAACTGTTGTCAAATAATATATATATATTATTTGCTAGCGACCTTATTTGAACCTTGAACATACTTGAGTTTGAACATTTTTCTCCTATTTCATTTTTGCATTAAATTGTCAGTTATTTTGAATGCATTGTTTGTTTGTGTTATTACAACAACAACAACGATGTGCATTGTTTCTATCACTCTTGGTATATCATAAAGGCTCCGTTATGACAAAAATAGTAACATTAATGCAATATGCCTTGATTTGGTTTACCACCCTTGGATGATACTTTTTGCATGGCACACTCACATGGCGCTTTGGTTGGGTGCACCTCACTCTTAAATCTATATTTGGCAATGGGAGGTTCCCAGCAGCTCATGGTTAACGCTATGCAAGGCTCTAGGTGGGTGTAGTCGACCAGTTCTGGGGCCCCTTTCTTTGCTTATGAATGACATAAGCTATTTACAGCAGATGCAAGACAAACATCGCCCATTTTGCCACTTTTATTGTATATCATGCAATTACATTGAATACGTTTCATTACAGTGATAGTGTCGACTCAAATTCAGTGTTATTGTAGCTCAGCAACCAGCCTACTGTGGCATTAAAATGACCAATTTTTTTTTTCCAATCCGCAGCCCAGTCTTGTGGACATCTGTGAGGTGATGATGGAGAGAAACAGGCATGACAGTGAGAAGTCCTGCTCCTCCACTCTGGAATACAATGACCTGGAGGCTGCAGAGGCTTTGGTTTGCATGAGCTCCTGGGTCCAGAGGACGGACAAGCCTCGCCCACTGACGCCCACCTCAGACTCTTGCGATTCTCTCCCTTTGCAGCCTGAACTCAACGAGTCCCCTAAAGACCTGGTCTCCCTCTCATCACTGGTGAGTGACTCTTTAAAAAAACAAAAAAGAAAAGAAACCGGACTGTGTTCTAGTTCTTAATGAGCAGTATAAATACATATTTCCAAAAAAGGCTTGGGGATGCTGCTGAAGCAAAAGTTGTTTCATTATTTTGAAAGTGTAGTGTAGTGTTGTTAATGGCAAGAATACACTACATGACTTTTAAAATCAAAACAGATTTTAAAACACTAGGCATCATACACTTGCCGACTTTGAAAATGATTGCAGAGAAAAACTGGACATCATAGGGGACTATGACTATGAAGTCATTACAAATACTACAAACTCACACAGAAACTAGGAGATGCATTAAAATTAAAACAATATTTGTTCTAAAATTGGCACAAATAATATATTTGATATCCTCCAACTGGATGGACTCTTAGTCTGAAGCTAAAAAATCAGAGTCTGTGCCCATCACACACTATTTGATTTTCTGTGTCAACTCCGACAAGCCAAAATCTGACTGATTGTGACTTTTGGCAACTAGCATCAACTCGTCCAGGCTTAAAATTGGGCCAAAAATCTGGGTAGAAGTTGTGTAGTCAATTAAAGGCAATTCCCAATGCTCAATGCAAATCTCTTCTTTCCAACAGTGCATGACCCCTCCCCACAGCCCAAGCTTTGCGGAAACTTCAGGCACAGCGGTTCTCAGTACCTCAGTGGCCTGCTCAGGTCTCAAACCACATCCCAGACTATGCTCAGCCTTGACCAACAGGGCTGCATGTCACGTCAACTTGCATCCCAGCACCACAGTCCTGTTCAACCCAGCTCCACCGACAGAACAGCCCTCACTTCACAGAGCCACCAGCGTTATACGGCACACCGCCGACAGATCCGTGGACCACAACATTCCATCTCCAACCACAGGGCAGGAGAAGCCATGTTCCTCAGAAATCCCTCTACAGCACACAGAGCCAATTGCCAACCTCACAGCAGAACTGCAAACCTGCAGTAACCCATGTGACACTGCAGAAACGGAGAGAACTTCCCCTTCTCCTCACTCCACAGGCATTGCTATCCCAACATCACAGTCTGCCGTTCCTCAGTCGCCCATATCCAGCCCGCCGGTGCTCTGTCAGGTGTTTCCTGTTACAGGGCGGACTGGAATCATCTCCGCATTTGTTCAGACTCCAGTTCAGATGCATGCCTCGGGGTCGAAGCCCATTCTTCCACATTCTCAACCTCTTCTGGTGGGCTCACCTGTGGCTCAGGGCACGGTGATGTTTGTCGTCCCGCAGTCCCAGGTATCCCAATCCTCCACCTGCCAGCAGAGCATTGTTACGCTTGGGAACACGAAGCTCCTGCCCTTGGCACCCGCTCCAGTCTACGTGCCCTCAGGTCAGAGCGGCGGAGTGACACAATCTGACTTCTTGCGCAGGCGGAACTACGTCTGCAACTTCCAAGGATGCAAGAAGACTTACTTCAAAAGTTCCCACTTGAAGGCTCATTTGAGAACCCATACAGGTTTGTGTCTATCTGACATGTTTTTGTTCTAATAGGTTGTACCCATAAAATATGGTTGTTGATCATCTTTCTCTATATCTCAGGTGAGAAGCCTTTCAGTTGCCATTGGGAAGGGTGTGACAAAAAATTTGCCCGTTCAGATGAACTGTCCAGGCATCGTCGGACACACACGGGTGAAAAGAAGTTTGTCTGTCCTGTCTGCGAGCGTCGGTTCATGCGAAGCGACCACCTGACCAAGCACGCAAGACGTCACATGACAACCAAGAGGTCCACAGCGTGGCCTAACGAAGTTCGCGACGTGAACAAAATGGCCACTTCCCAAGCACCATCTTCCATGCCCCTTAGTGTGCTTCTTCCTGCCTCAAACTAGGTTAAGACTCAGACCACTCACCTCAGAAACAAGAAAACCAAGGCTGCTACACATCCGTGTACATAAAACAATGTGACATTGCACTGGATTTTTATTTTAATCATGGTTGTTTATAAGGAATTCTTGTTTACTTTTATATAAGTTATGTCTCCCAATATGTATTTACTCCCTTTGCCAAAGTCTTTGCATCAGTTCATCTGTTACTTACTCTTTACTGTTGTATAGTTGTATATAAATATCACTATCTATATGAATGTAATGTGTATTCAAATTGGCATTTATTGTTGATATATGAATAAATGTTATTGATGTTACTTCTGTTAATTGGACAGTATTCCTGTATGCGATACTACCTGCAATATTCAATATTATTTAATAATAAACATTTGTAGTAAGAATATAGAATGTTTTATTTGTTGTCGCTGATATTGTTATTGAGCTGAGTTTGAGACCTCAGTAATATATATATTAAAAAAAAACATTTTAAGCCATTACACACTGCTTAATCTAAAAAAAAACCCCACTTAAAACGGATTAAATTTAGAAATTACACAACAAAAAACATTACACGTAACATAAACACTGGTTGACAAGCGTTACACAACGTGTAAAACGTAGAAAAGGAAAACAATAGAATCATTACATAGCCATGAACTGGCGTGACGACACAGTTACACAACACCAGGGCTGCGTTCAGCCCCAACAAAACCGGTGCAAAACGTTTTTTTAAACGGAAACGGTGGTGCGTTGAACACTCTGTTCTGATGACGCAAGAGTTGCAACTACGGCAGCTGAGAAGGCCATTCTTTGTGTTCTTTTTGAAACATCAATTCTCAACACTGTCACCCCACAGCACCCAGTAACAAACCTCGTCCAATCACATTGCTTCATTGTGGAGCGGTTAGGGGGCGCGACCAATCACAGAGGATGACGAGTTGTAAATATGGCAACAGCAGCTTGACTGACAAGCCTTGGTCTCCGCCCATTTGCCTTACTGACCGATATTTCCAAACGAAAAAAGAAAACACAAAGAAAAAACAAAAGACACTGTTACTGCACTGAAAGCTGATTTAAAATACAGTTTTTTTTTTCTGTTTTAATGATATTTATCTAAAGTGAGAAGTAAGCAAAATGGGAAGACTCGACGATGGACAGTCTTTTTATCTTGTGGAGAACCAGTTTTATGCCATATTCGCATTTGACCATTAGTTGTTGGTCATATATGATAATAGAAGCATTTTAGCAACTTTTCGCAAATGCATACAATTCATTTTAAATGTCTCGAAAACGGCCAATTTAAATAGAGGTGAGGCCTCCCCCTGCTGGTCTCTTCAGGATTAGAGGCAGTTTACTGTATGACATAACTGTTCGAGAATTTGTTTCATTTCCACAACAGGGCTGAAAGTATTATCCAGTACTATCGCATCTGGTGATTTCATAGTAGCTAAGAATTATTTATATTATATCTTTATTTTGGGTTGGAATATTTTATTCTGCTTGTATTATTATTCAGTCAAAAACATAGAACAAACCATTACATTAATAACTAAATAAATAATGTCGTCTGAGAGTAAATATTATGAAAAAGACATGTATGCAGTTTTTTTCCTTAACACAAATGTATCGCTTTGTTACCACAATTTATTTGGCGAGTTGAAACAAAATTATCATAAAACGTGTGGTTATTGTCCTCCCGCCACGAGAGAGCAGTATCTCAAAAGCATGCTGTATTTTATCCCAGGCAGTGACCTCTTGGGCGTTTTTATTGTTCTTTGTCGACTCCCGCGTCCTGAAAATGTTTTTGTTATGAAACAAAAAAAATGCATTTCAATATGTTTGCAAAATACGTTTTAAACAATTTGAGTTTTTGTTTTAATGTAGATTTTGAAATTAATCTCAAAGCTCTAGGAATTCGTGTTTTGGTTTGGTTGTAGTGAGCAACTGGCTTAACAGCTGATAGTTTGTTGTGCTGTAAAGTTTAATCGCCAATAAATACATATACTTAGAATCTCTCTTGTTAGACACTTATGTAACATGCTATATTAATTAATGATGCTCAACATGATCTTTTTGCTTCTCTTTTTTGAGAAACAGGAAGAAGGGGAACAAAACATTTTCGCCACGTCAACAGGATGATTTTATGAAGGTAGTAATATCAAAGATCACATGTCTAGTTTTGTGTTCACCATTAAAAATGAGTATTTAGGGTTTTGGGATGTATCTGGGTGATCGTAAGGGTTTACGTTATTTGTTTTGATCGTTTACTCAAATCTGGCGCCAAACCATTGCTTCCTTTCAGGAAGGTTTTGTTGAAAGTAAGTTTGGATTTGTGGCTGCAACGTTATAAAAAAGGGGCACTTTAAAAACGTATTTTCCCCCACACAGTATAGGGGATGTTGTTTTACCTAAGTAAAGTTTTATTGTGTGCTGTTTAATGTGAATCAGGGTATCTGTGTGTGACTGAGAACTGCAGTCGGTCTCGACTAGTAGTGGTTTCATTGGCACTACGTATCATTTTCATTAACATTATTCTGTTCAAAATAAATTACAAATAATGCCGACTCATTAATGTAGAGTGCAAACAGAAATGCTATTGCTTGCAAATGTAAGTGTGGGCTCTTAACTTGAACACATTTCGTACATTTTTTTTTCTTACAAATTTTTTTATTTACAAAATGTAAATGAAATACTTTGTAAAAAATAATAACTTGATATTATACAGCTTTTGTATCGTATTCGCGCCTTTTTAAACCAGTTTGTATAATTGCACGTTCGGCTTTTGTGTAACACTTCGCATCCCCCAGCCAACACGTTTGAATTTCCCGCGAGGCGTAACTCTCACGTGACGTCTTAGAGAATTCTGATTGGTTCGTCTAATGAAAGAGTTAAAAGGACCAAACAAAGCGGCGAAGTTGGCCCTTTTCTTATTGGATGAGAATGAGCGCCAAGAATCGAATATAAAAGATTCTCCGGCGTTCATCCTTCGTTTTCTTCCCTCCAGCTGGACTGTAGATCTTCAAGTTTATGCTTTCCGTTTTATTTATTTGTAGCGGACTGTTTTAGAAGTTGTTAATTTTTTTTTTTTTAACTTATCCTCATTTTCTGTTTTACCTAACACTTCAAGCTTTAACAATGCTGTCAACTCGCTCTCCACTAAAAACTAAGAATGAAAACGCCATTTCTACCAAAATCAATAGCATGTCCTTGGTGGACAAAGAAAACACGGTAAGTTTATTATTATTAGTTTAGTTATATTATAATACTCATAAGACTTGTATTGAGATGCTTTACATTTTAGGTGTCTAGATGAATACTACATACTTTGGTAGAACTATCACCTTTGTTTAATTAAAGGACAAATGTTAAACCGTTCATTTTGCTGTAGATCCTAAATTGGTGATTTGTTTTGTTCTCAGCCGCCCAGTCTGAACTCCACTAGAATCCTGGCGTCCAAAACGGCGCGCAAAATCTTTGATTCAGAGGTACGCTCAATTTAACTGCATTCCTGTACGTTTCTTCAGGATTTACAACATCAATGCATGTTAAATATATACTATCTTAAATGATTAGTGATTTGTCGAGCGATGTCTTTAAAGTGGTTGATGAAATTTGGCGGTTTCAGAGCGTGCCAAGTTGGGCTGGTCCATCCAAAATATCCTGACCTTTAATAAGAAAAATAGCTCGTAAAGCAAATCTACTTAAGTCCATGACATACGGTCACCTAAAATGGGTATTATTTTGTGTTTTGAGCCAGTCAATTTATTGGGTATTATCTTGTTTTGGTGGGTCAGTAGCTCGAACTGATTTAATGTTCTGTAAACGACGCAGAATTCACGTGAAAACATGCGTGTAAATATGAAAATACTCCCATATTTTATGACAATGTTTAACGTTATATGAACTTTTTTTTTTTTTTTACCGGCAAACTAGACCGGAAGTAGTAGTATCACTTGGAGAGATGAATGAAACGTAAACCCTCTATGGACCCATGCTTATAAAAGCCACGAAGAAAATCCAGTTAACTTTCCTTTTCCCCGTTTGCTTTTATTTCTGTTGTCAAAATTCCTAATATGAAAATGGTTACTAAGGCAACAAACCCTGGCAAAACCAGGGTTATTTCAGGAATATTGTCAAAATGGTAAATATTAAAGTGTTTAATGCCGCATAGTTGAATTAAACCATTTTTGTTAGGTAAAATAAGTAAAGTCATTTTGGTTTTCAAGTCTTTAAAAAATGTGATGCCAATAAGAATTTTGTGCTCTCCCATTCACCCTGGCTGTTAGTTTTTTACTTGCCATTTAAAATTTGGTTTGTTGCCAAATCTAAAGTTTTACCTTTGACTTTTAAGGAGCAGACAAAAGCTAGGAAAGGAGCTGTGGAGGAGGAGCCCCTTCTGAAGGAGAACCCCCACCGCTTTGTCATTTTCCCAATTCAGTACCATGACATCTGGCAGATGTACAAGAAGGC